AGTCCCTTGGAGATTCCCTTGGAAATAATAGCAACATTTCTCTAGGGGGCAGCATAATGTAGTTACAGAGTAACCTTGGGCAGATTCCTTCCTATGTGTCCCTACCTAACAGGATTATTTTGAGGATTAATTGAGTTAATAGAACTATGCCTGGTACCAAGTAAGTTCTATGTAAGTGTTATTATTTTTACTATATTTGAGCACTTGCTATAAGTAGTACAGTTAACATGTTACATACATTTTTTTTTAAAGATTTTATTTATTTATTTGACAGAGAGAGAGTGACAGCGAGAGAGGGAACACAAGCAGGGGGAGTGGGAGGGGGAGAAGCAGGCTTGCCGCCAAGCGGGGAGCCCAATACGGGGCTCGACCCCAGGACCCTGGGATCATGACCTGAGCCGAAGGCAGATGCTTAGCGACTGAGCCACCCAGGCGCCCCAACATGTTACATACATTAAAACTCAATTCTTTTTTTTTTTTTTTAAGATTTATTTATTTATTTTAGAAGGGGGAGGGGCAGAGGGAATCTCAGGCCGACTCTGCGCTGAGCGCAGAGCCAGACACGGGACTCGATCTCACGACCCAGAGACTACGACCCCAGCCGAAATCAACAGTCGGACCCTTAACCGACTGCACCACCCAGGCGCTCCTACGTGATCTCAATACTAATCTTTAGAACAACTCTGTGAGGTGAATACTGAATTGTCTTCCCACTTTACAGAGAAGGACAAAGAGGCTGAGAGAGTTTAAGTCATTTGCCCCACATTATAGTTAGAGAGAGGTAGTGTCGCGATTCCAACTCTGGTTGGTGCCAGTCTGATTCTGAGACTGAAATCCTTAACTCTGGTATTTAAAGTATGCTTTCCTTCTCTCTGGCATCAAGTTCTCTGTCTAGGGAAGGAAAGTGATCCAGCTCTAGAACACACTTCCAAATGTAACTTCTACTTCCTCCCGGAGCAGAGCAAATCTTGGAACCCAATATTATATAGGACTTAAGTAGAGCAGACCATAAAAGTTTTTTATTTCGATACCTTCCTTGAAGTTTGAGGTGCCTATTTTATGCCACAGGAATATTCAGCCACCTGGCATATCCTTATATACTTTGTTTCCTTTTTTAGATCCTTCAAGTTGCTATTTAGTTCCTTTTAAAAAGCTACAAGGGTTGGTCTATTCATTCACGCAATGATATTTGTTTAGCATCTATAATGTGTTAGGTAGGCACTGGGAATACATCAGTGAATAAAAGAGACAAAAATCCTTGCCCTTGTGGAGTTTACATTCTAGTGGGGAGACAGTCAATAAACAAGATAAATAAATCTATTAGATAGTATATTAGAATAGGACAAGTCCTAAGGAGGAAAATAAAGTAGGAAAAGTGGTTAGGGAGGATGAGAATGGGGGTAGGGGTTACAATTTAAAATAGAACAGCCAGGGGGCGCCTGGGTGGCCCAGTTGGTTCAGTGTCCGGCTCTTGATTTCTGCTTAGGTCATGATCTCAGCGCTGGGCATGGAGCCTGCTTAAGATTCTCTCCCTCTCCCTCTGCCCTCCCCCCGCCAAAAGAATAAATAAAAATAAAATAGAACAGTCAGGGGCCCCTGGCTGGCTTAGTCGGTACAGCACGTGACTCTTGATCTTGGGGTTGTGAGTTCAAGCCCCACACTGGGTGTAGAGATTACTTAAAAATAAAATCTTAAAAAGATAGAGAATGGTCAGTGAATGCCTCAATAAAAAGGAAATATTTGATCAGTATTTGAAGGGAGAGTTGAAGGGGGTGAGAGAATGACCCTGGCAGATACCTGGGGGAAGAATGTACCAAGTGGAGTTAACAGTGAATGCAAAGATCCTGAACTGGGAGTGAGCCTCGTGTATTCACGAAATAGCCAGGATAACTGAATGAAGGAAGCAAGAGAAAAACAGTAGGAGATAAAGTCAGAGAGATAATGGGAAGAAGGCCTTGTCAACCACACTGAGGACTGGCTTTTATGCTAAAGAAGATGAGAAGCCACTGGAAGGTTTTGAAAAGAGAAGTGATACAATCTGATTTACATTTTAACAGGATCAATCTGGCTGCTCTGTTGAGAACAGTCAGCAGGGGGAAATAGGATGAAGCAAAGAGGAGGCCTTTATAATAACTCAGACCTGAGGTAATGGTGCTTTGTACGAATATATTTTGAAGGTACAGCCAGTAGGGTTTGCTATGGATTGGATATGGGATGAGAGCGAGAGAGGAGAGTTGAGAATGACTGATAGGACTTTGGCCGGAGCCCCAGGAAAGATGGATTTGCCATTCATGAAATGTGGGAGCCTGTGGGAGGGTTTGGTGGTCAGGGGATTAGTTTTGGGACATGTTAAGTTTGAGACGTCTATTGGACATCGAAGCAGAGAGGTTAAATCAGCAGATGGCTATAAATCTGGGGTTTAGGAGAGTAAGTCTGGGCTGGAGGTATAATTTTAACAGTCATCTGCATGCAGTTGGCCCTTCCAAAAGCCTGTCCTTGTGTGGGCTGGAGGTCACTGAAAATGCCATGGAATTTGCCTTCTGGCAAAGCCTAATCCTTCTGCCTTCCCCTCTGGCCCGCAAGGAGAGAAGATGGGGCTGTCCATCTTTGCGCTGCTGACCCTTACCGTGTTCCTGTTGCTGCTGGCAGACAAAGTTCCTGAGACCTCCCTGTCTGTCCCCATCATTATCAAGTACCTCATGTTTACCATGGTCCTCGTCACTTTCTCAGTCATCCTTAGCGTCGTAGTCCTCAACCTGCACCATCGCTCACCCCACACCCACCAAATGCCCGTTTGGGTCCGCCAGGTAAGATGTTCTCCTCCGACCTGTGTTAACTTTCAGTCCTGGTGTTCGTTTTTTTGTGTGTGCAGGTATCACTCCTGCAACCCGCCTACCAACTTCAACCTTCCCTTTCTCAGACCTAAGGGAGAACTGCAACTCCTGGTGGAATGTTCTAGTGCCGGGGCCTGTTGGATGTTGAAACGTTGCGCAGTTAACTTTACCCTCCCGACACTGTCATGTCATAGATTCCTTACTTTCTTCGTCAGTACTGCTCATACTGGGTCTCAGGGAAACATTCATTCCCAGGGCCAGGTCCTGTCAGGGTGGAAGCCCTCGGAACTTTCCTTTCCAGCCGGGACGCCTCGCAACCCACTTAGGAGCTCTGGAGGCTGTGTGGCTGGGGGGACGCGCGCACGCATGCGCGGGGATGGGCAGGTGGATGGGAACGGCGGGCCGCTTCCCTTGCGGTCTGAAAGCGTGAGAGCCCCCGCCAACACGCCTTTCTACTCAGCAGATCTTCATCCACAAACTCCCTCTATACCTGGGTCTGAAGAGGCCCAAACCTGAGAGAGACCTGATGCCGGAGCCACCTCCTGTAGCCCTCAGGGATTCTCCAGGAAGTGGCTGGGGTCGGGGAACAGATGAATATTTCATCCGGAAGCCACCGAACGATTTTCTCTTCCCTAAACCCAACAGGTAGTACCTACTGCCCGTCGCCTACAAGGAAGGGAGAGAGGGAACTACAGTTCCCAGAAGACTGTGCGGAGGCAGGCGGCTTAAGGTCCCAGAAGATGCCCTTGGGCATCATGGGAATTGTAGTACACCCCCCCCCACTTCCACCGCCTACTTTGCGGAAAGGCGGAGACTAAAGCGTATAGAGATGGGAGGAATTGCGGAAGGCTGGAGAGGTCGCCGCTGGCGGGGAGAGCCTAAAGGGCCTTCTCACGTTTTGAAAACTGACAAGAGTGTTGGAGGAAGGGGTCGGGACGGAGCCTTGAGCCTGGCCAAACTGTCGCGCCTCTTCCAGGTTCCAGCCTGAACTGTCTGCCCCGGACCTGCGGCGACTTACCGATGGTCCAACCCGGGCTGTGGGCCTGCCTCCCGAACTACGGGAGGCCGTTTCCTCCATCAGCTACATCGCTCGGCAGCTGCAGGAGCAGGAAGACCGCGACGCGGTAAGTCCAATGAGGGTGGAGCAGGGCGGGGCCTGGGTGGCCTCGGGTCCGCCCGCAGACCCCGGCTCCGCCCCAGCGCCCGCTCTTGTTTCTGATTGGAAGCTCGCCTCCCTTGGTCCCGCCCCCTGCTTTCCGAATGGTTCCTCGCTCCATCGGTCGTCCGCAGTTTCGTTTTCCTCGGTCCCGCGGCCCGCCCCTGTCTCTGAGCCGTGGGAGAAGGGCGAGGGTACGGGGCAGGCCTTCCCTGGGGCTCTGGAGCTCAGGGACCGTGTACTCTGCCTACCCCCAGCTGAAAGAAGACTGGCAGTTCGTGGCCATGGTAGTGGATCGCCTTTTCCTGTGGACCTTCATCATCTTCACGAGCGTTGGGACCCTCGTCATCTTCCTGGACGCTTCGTACCACTTGCCCCCTGCCGACCCCTTTCCTTGAGGACAGAGGGCCAAGACGCAGGTCCTCGGCCAGCTGAACTGAGATTTGGTCAGCGCTGACAAGGCCTGTGCCTTTCTGCCTCTTGACTCCACTAGGAATCCAGGCTTCCCATATCGTTGCCTTTCTGGGGAGAGCGCCCAAGTGGGACGGGGCCGACTGAAGCCCTGGGCCCCACCAGAAATGCACTATCGGTTTATTTATTCTTTGGCTTCTTGTAGAAGTTCCTTTGGATATCAACACTAGGTTGCCGGTAGAATGGAACAAAGAAGTAGACTGTAAGCCCTAGGAGGGCAGGAACTGCGTCCTGTTCACTGTCATACCCCAGTACCTAACACAGGCCCTGACCTATAGGATAGTAGGTGCTTCACATTTGTTGAGTGATTAGAGAATTTTTTTTTTTCCTGGAAGGAACTACATCAGTTCCTTCCTTCCAGTAGTGCTTATGTTTGCATGTTGGGACTAGGTGGTCATTCTTTTTGTTTTTACTTTCCTGTAATTTATTGTTTTGTAATAAGTGTTATCCTTAGGATTAAAAAAAAAAAAGGTTATTTCTAAAAGGATGCATTTGTAATGAGGGGGGAAAAGAGCACTTTAAAAAACCCTCATTCAGGTTCCAGCTTTGGTGCTCAAACTTTGGATAAGGTACCAAGCCGCTCTGGGCCTGAGATTCCATGACTGTAAAATGAAGCTAAGAATAGTATCTGTCCCCAAGTCTGAAGGTCACATGAGAAGATGGGAGCAAAAGCTCTACACAGTATACATCAGAGTTTGCAAACTGGTGTGTTTGTGTGACCTGTGTTGTTGGCCTGCACAATTTTTAGTGTGAGTTAGCTAGTTTAAAAATCTGGATATTGCACAGAGGAATTTGGATTTCTGGCTTCTCTTGGGAAAAAAAAAAAAATTAAACTACAGTAACACCGGGCCTGATTCCCCTGTTGGCAGCAGCCTGCTAGTGCTGATCAGTGTGACGGCCCACCCTGGTCAAGGTATTTGCACCAGAACTCCTCAAAGCCCCCACCCAGCCGACCAGCTTGGCTCATTTCACTTGCCCGTTCCTCCGTAACATTAGACAAAATCAAGGGGAGGGGTGGGGAGATGAGTTGAAGGCAATGAGAGGCTAGTAGTAGAAAAAGAAAGGTGGTGGTATCTCACGACCATCCCTCACTTTATGCCCATTTCTTTTCGATTTGGAGAGCGGGTCGCACCAGGTGTAAGGCGCACCGGACATTAGGATCTTGTGCCCAGCAGGCTGTGCGAACTGGGCTGAGTTAATGTTTCTGCCTGGAGGTCAGACCAAAGTCAGCTTGAGCCCTAGTGGCTGCAGCCGTTACAGTGACGTACGCAGGGTCACCAAGCCCTCACACCTCCTCAGCTGCTGGAGGCTGTGCCCTCAGAAGGATCATACAGCCGCAGCTCCCAGGATCTCTGGGAGACAAGGTAAGCATGTCCCTGTCCAGCCGACTCCCCAGCCACGCAAAGAAGTGCACTTGGCATCCCAGTGCGGAGCACAGTTTGTTTGTCTTGTTGGTTTATTGGCCTAGAGAATTGGACACACACACAGATGCGGAGATAAATATTGGTCAGTTTCTCTAAATCTGGGTCCTCACTACGTATAGAGCTAGTCTGTAGGATTCTAAACCTTGCGTGCTGTAGCACAGAACCAGTGGCCTTTCCACTCCACCATCACCCTTCTCCCCAGAGAACATGGGGAAAGAGGGCACAAACTGACAAGACTTGAATAATTTTCAAAAGACGGAATTGCAAAATCCCAAATTTCCAACATCTGAAATTCACAATATTCAAGTTCCCCAGCTCGGATACACGTATTTCAATCTCCAATTTGCCACGATCTCATTTGTTGCCCAGAACCACCAAATTCTGGAAGCTAGTTTCCTAAATCATATTTTCAAAAAAATAAGTGTCTACGATCTCAGTTCTCCCGAAAATGTCTGTGGTTTTGGAATTTTGACCTGTTCTGAAATTCAAATCCCCCGGTCCATCCTCAACTCCTTCCGTTTCCTGTGCCTTTCTGCCTCAGAGGAGTGCAGGTTAAGGATATAGGAGAGCTGTCAACATGTCTGCCCCCTGCCTCCAAGGCTCTGTCTCCCTTGTGGTTCCGCTGTGTGTGTGCGTGTGTGTGTATGTGTGTGTGTGTGTATATATATATGTGTGTGTGTGTATATATATATATAAAATTTGTGTGTAGATATATATATATATGTATTCTTTATTATGTTCTTTTTTCGCAGTTTTTCTAAAGTGCCAGAAACGAGATTTGTGGGAATTTTTTTAGTGATTTTTTTTTTTTTTTTTTAAGTTATTATTCCTTTGAATTTCTTCTTCATTCTGGGATTTTTTTTTTTTTTTTTTTTTTGCATTTCCCGTTTTAAGCATTTTACCCCCTTAAAAATTGGAACTTGGTACATTCAGTAGGAACTCTTCACTCGGACTGTGGCCAAGACCAGGAAAAGTGCAAAGAGACAGAGGAGGAGAGAAGGAATGACACTCCTCCGTGGTTAACATTCAGGAGCCTGTCAAAAACCTCCCCCTTCCTGTAGACTAGGAGGGTAAGAGGAGGCAGGAGGATGCTCCTGGTCCTTCCCCCAAGCTCACCTCCCTCCAAAAGCCATGATCTTGCCCTTTCAGCCACGAGAGAGGGCAGCCATCTTGGCCCCGGAAAACAGTAGCTGGGATTAAGCTCCCATCTCAATGGTGGCAGCATTTCCCCCTTTTAAACTGCACTCCTCTAATTCCCATTTATCAGATTTGCTCCCCCAAACTGACTCTCCCCTTCTGAGCTGTTGTTTGTTTTTTGTTTTTTTTTTGGGAGGGGGGAGGTGGGTGGGATGGGAAATGTTCATCCAATCACAGAGTGGGGACGGCCGGTCGTCAAAGAGAATTAGGAGCAAACATTTCTTCAACTCCCCCACTGGAAGGAAACATACGGACCCCTGACCAGGGTTAACTAGTGCAAATTAGGGATTAGGGACTGTTTAAGGTCCCTGCGCCCCATCCCTAGGCTGGGATCTTTGGGTGTGGGGAACTGAGTCAAAGATGGGGTGTAAGGTGCTATTCTGGAGGAAAAGTTGGTGGGGATACCCCAAAGCCCACCAAGGGAGTAGGATGGTTCCCCAAAAACCACCTGGAGTGAATGGTGAGGGAAGCGACACTGGGGAAGATGGAGGTAAAGGTAAGGATGGGAGGTCATGTGCAAATCTTGGGCTTACCCACCCATCCAACCCCCATCACTTTTCTGGCTATTTGGTCTAGTCTGGGAGAAACCATCAGGAAAAAAAAAACAAAACAAAACCAGGGAGAAAGTAGATTCCCTTCCCCGTCCCATATGGAGCTCCCTCCTCCTGGCCCCCAAATCTGATTTAGCCCAGAAGAGGCCATAGGTAGAGGCAGGAAGAGGTGTGATCTACTCACCTCTTTGCCTTGGAAGAATCTGGGGCTCACTGGATTTGGGGGTCAAGATAGGGCCAAGATTAGTGCTGCCCTGGGCTGGGAAAGTGCTCAGCCGTGGAACAGATGGGTAGCCCTCCCCCCAACACCTCCTTGACCTGGATTGGAAGAGGCCATCTCCAGAGTCTAGGAGAGGAGGAATATGGAAGATCTAAAGGCATGGAAGCCAAGGAGACAGGGACACAGAAACCCACCCCTGCGAAGAATGGAAGCCATGCTTCCAGATGGGCAGGTATCAGGTATCACAATGCTCTGGTCCAGGCCCTGGGCCACGAAGAATGGAATGTGCTAGGAAGCATCTAGGCAGGGGCTTAGAGAAAGCTTCAGAATGAGGGGAGGTCACTAGGTGAGAGAGATGGTTTCCCCCCCCCCCCGGGTTTACGAATCAGGAGGGTAGGTTAGACATTCAGAGCTGGTGGGGGCCGTGAGTAGAGATTCATATAAGTATATTGCTCAGTTGCCCCAAGGGCTGGAGAAAGGATGGGAGCTGGCCCTGCCCCTCATGGAGGCCATTCCCTGGAGGAGAACTGAGAGGGGAACCACCCAAGATCCCTTCCCAGGAGATGGGAAAACTACAATCTCACACAAAGCAGCCTGACCCCTGAGCTCCAGGGGCCCCCAAGTCCCTGCACAAGAGTGTGGAGGGGCTCCCAAGGGGCAGGGAAGCCAGGGAGCTGGTAGTGGCAGGGGGTTCGGGGAGGGTGGCATCTGGTGAAAGGGGGGAGGTGGGCCCAGAGCTCACCCCACATCTCCCTTCTGGGTTCTCTCAAGCCCTGCCCTTTCCCCTTCTCCCTTAGGAGGGACTGGTGGAGGAAGAGTGGGCGGAGGTGGGGTTGGGGGAGTAGGGGGTGCTGCTTGAGGATTGACTGCGTAGCCAAAGACCCCTGGAAGGAAGGGAAGGGCCCCCCCACCCTTCTCGTCAGGTAGGACCATGTTAAGAGCAACCGGGAGAGCGGCCAGGTTGCTGAAGTTGTAAGGGTAAGCGGCAAGGAGCTGGGGGCCATAGACGAGCGGGTAGGGCTCTGGGTAGAAGGTAACTTTGGCAGCCCCCAACCCCTCCGCGCGGTCCCCCTCCCCGGCCCCCACGGGCCCCTCGCTGCCACTTTTCCCCCTCCCACCGCTAGGTTCCCTGCCGCTCCCAATCAGAGCCAGTGGAAATTCCTGCACAGGCGGATACGCATAGTTGCCCCCTCCTGCCACCAGCGGGGGCTCCTCACCCCCTGAGATGACAGGGTCCTGGAGAGAGGCGGCCTCGGACGCTCCCTCCGCAGCAGCAGCGCTCCCGCCACCGGCCTCGCCGCTGGACGAGGAGACTTGCATCTCTTGGGGGGCCTCCTCCTTGACCTCCCCGGCTCTGGCGCCGGCGCTGCCCTTGGAGTAGGCGATGACCGGCGTGGGGGTGCCCCCGGGCCGCTCGGCCGCGTGCCTCTGGCCGTGGCGGCTCAGGGCGGCCGCCGTCTTGCACACCTTGGCGCAGTGGGGGCAGGCGAAGC